AGATATAATTTGTTATCGTGTGCAAACGAGTAAATGTATTTATTTATATTCCTCGTTACACGTCAATACTTAAACACAGTCAACATTTATATTCTTGCGATTAGTTAGAAAATTTCGATAAGATTTCAATTGAAAAATAGCACGTTGTTAATTTTGCTGTAATTTTAGTTTCATTTTATACAAATTGATTCTTCACATGTTCGTAGTGAGAATGCACGAAATATATGCACACGCATTAAATTAGTGAAAATGTTGACCGAAAATAAGAGGAGATTCTTTACTTTGTGTTACAGCCTAAAAAACAAAAGGGCAAGTGCCAGTTCTACGAGGACTACAAAGGTTCGTATCTGACGTACAGGAGCGTAATAAACAATACGCGGTTCATGGGTTTCAACAAGCAAGGGAAACCGATGAGACATTCTGGTCGACAGGAGTGTTTCAATTTCATTAAGTACAATCCCCATGCCGATATAAATCACCACAACAGCCTGGTGAACGCGGGCGTAGGTGGGATGGATCCGCGGGACGCGCCGTACACCGTTGTCTCGAGGAAACGGTCGCTCACGCCGAGGCCGATGAAGAACTCCCTATGGCAGGCCGATAGTTCGAGGGAAATCGTTCATACGATGCATCGTTATCGGCACTTGAACCGTTGGAAGATGCGCCAGGGCGAGAAGATCCCTGCCCCGCGAAGACGACACCAGAGCCGTCTCATTATCGAGGCCAACAATTATTGAGCCGCACGTTGGCTCGCCGATCAAGACTGCCTCATCCACACCAGTGAGAACCTGAGATCAGACTGCCAAATACGCTGGTGGTACGTACGGTCGAGATATCAGGAACCCACTAATAACGCGGCACCACGTGAAACGCGGCTCGAAGCACGCGCCTCGATTGATCGCAACGAACAAAGCTGGCTCGCCTCGTGTCTCCTGCTCGCTTGCGTACACTACACTCCATTCACGACCAACGGCAAATTTCGCTACGAGCAAGCAACAACGAAAAAAATAAAAAAAATAGAAAATTAAAAAAAGAGAATACTATGTTCGGTGAACGAACTATACGGTACCAACGTTGCAGGAAGACAGTCTTGTTGGGTAGAGCTTTCGTTATGCGTCATTTAAATTCCATTATTCACACTTGCCCCGACTGAATCCTTTTTCAGGCAAGTACCGCACGATATCCATTATTTCCACTTTCTTTCTATCGCTAAATTTTTGATACGATTAGTTAGCAGTGTCGAGATCTACGGTTAGTTTACTTTCATTTTCATCAATTTGTCGTTCGTGTCTCGTTATCTCGTTTGAGATCCGATGTTTCCGCGCACGAAACTTGGACGAATCCGAGTTACGAGTTAAATTCGTTGAACAGTGTCTCTAGTATCTAGAACGGGTCAATAAAATGTTTAGCGATGGAAAAAAATGTATTTGCGCGCGATCGGCCTAAATCGTTGCGCAATCGGACAGCTGCCGTGCTTCAAGCGCTGTCACAGACCGCGTAGATGTCCCGGAGAGGTGCACGAACAAGGCGTGTTCCTGGAGGTATTTTCATTGAATTGGATTTTTCTCGAACATAAGTCGTCCCGATAGAACGTCGGGCTGGATTTTAACAACTGGTTTTGTCGAATTTAATTGAAACACGATTAAATTGAATAGCGTAGAATAAAACTTTCTATTGGAACGCGATATAGTTTCGGATTGCGTGTTTATCCGTAAACGGTTTCCGAAGGAAAGGAAGTATTTCCTTTACCGGGTGCGGGGACTCGCTGAAAAGGTGTAACTCTCTGGCGCGCTCGCGCAGTAGAGCTCACGCTGCGCAAGACTCTCTCGCTCGCTGTGCTAATTACGCCGCCTAATGTAGCGTGCGTGCGTGCGTGCGTGCCTGGCTGCCTGCGTGTATGAATAATGTGTGCGTGCGTGCGTGCTCGCGACGTACACGCAGTTCTTACCGTCGCGCTGATGTTCCAAGCTCGCGACGCGGTCGTTTTTCGAATCACTACTTTTTCAAACGGCCGCTCCATTCACCTAATCACTTTTTACCCTTATTCTAATCGATCTTGTTTATAATAATACAAAAGGAGGTACGACATGTGCGTGAATATACCGGGACGCGCATTCACATATACACTATATATTTACACTGTACACAGACACGTATTCATACATATACACATACAGACTTTTAGGACAAGAGGTATACAATTTTCCTGAATCGGTATACAATTTTCCAGAAGAGCAAGATACGATGTATAGTGTATATACCTATTTTTAGTAAATTTATTCAGAAACAATCTTTAGGACACGGACAAATAATAAACGGAATCCTTGAATATTTTATACGGGACGTATTTGAAATACAATATGAACGTTCGACGCGATTTGGCCGATTGCGTCGAACGTTGTAATTCGCGGAAGCAAGAAAGAAAAAGGGAATGAAAACAAAAATCTATTTTCTGATAGGAATGTGAGTGAGATATAGTATTTGAGAGTATCGGCTTAAACTGCGTGTTCGTGTACGAGCTTAAGTATTCGTGAGTGCATTTTGCTGAACGCGTGTGACTGCGTGTAATATATTATAATTGATCGTTAATGAAATTAATCCCTAGGACGCTATCGCAGACTGTATTACTAGATTAGGTACACGAAATATAATAACAACGGTGGCGACTCGATGAGAAGAAACGAATCGGCGGATACGTTCCACGGCCACGCGGTAACTCTTTCGTGCAATCTCTCGTATACATATTAAATACACATATATTCATGTGTATGTATATATGTGTATATACATATGTATATATTATATCCGATCAGTGGGCATCGCGTACGCTGGTGCCCGAAAAGGAATGGAACAAAGCCGCATGGAACCGTCCCCGATTCGATCGTTTTCGCAGATTCGCCACGCAAGGAGCGCCTGCCCCTTTCTCCCAAAAAGAACTCGCTCCCTAGGTAGCTTATTTATTGTGAAATCATGTTTAGATACTACGAAAACCAAACCGCCCGAGACCACCTTTTCCTCGTATATTTACGGAAATGTGCGCTGCTCTCTTTTTTAATTTTACTCATTACCGTTTCATTTCCCGTTCCCTCTTTCATTACCGTTTATGAATTTCCATAGTTCATTTTTTAATTTTCTCATCATGTCTTTATCGAGGATGAAAATATTTCAACGGAAATTAATCGTAATCGTTGACTAGGGCTGAGGACTTCATTCTTTTAGCGAATGTTGAATGACGCGACTATATAAAAATTTCATACATTTTTTTTATTTCACATGAACAAACATGATTAACGTAGAAATTCATATTCGAGATACTTTCAACGGCACGTGACCTCATTTTCACATTTGTTGTACTTATTTTCCTCTCACTTTGTATTCTTATGTTATGAAATTAAATCCGAGAATACTCAATACCTGATTAGTTAATTTGATTTTCGTACGAGTGGCAGTGCGTAGAGCTATTTCCAGCTGGAACGGTGTTTGTACGTGTCGCTAAGAGAAAAACGTAGACAGCAAATTATACGTAGAAGCGCCACGTTCCGTTTTAAGAATTGATAGTATCATTGGAAATAAATATTTATAATTAATCGTTTCGTCGAATAGTTTCTCATATCCTTCTGATACTTCAGTTCTTTCTTTCTTTCTTTCGTATCTATTACCACGTAATTCGTTATTTAAAAAAATACTATTGTAAATTAAAAGTACGTGTGCCATTGTTAGGTTCTCTTTACGGTACGTGGCGCGTGCAAGCTAAATAAAAGGAACGCGCGCGAAACTGAATTAAAGTGCTGACAATTAATTTATCATTTAGGAGAAACAAGTGTCACGGCGTAACACGATCTTAGAAAGGACGAACTCGATTATTCGTTTTGTACGTGTAAATGTAGCGTTACGTAACGATGCGTCGACGATTAACGGCGATGTTTGCACTAATAGACGCGCGGCACTAATAGAACGGATTTGTACGCGGGAAGATTCCCCGTTCCTTCGATTAAGTCAAACGGACAGGTGACGTACTCGTACGATTCGAATAGTGTAATTGCTGATAAACCGCGCAGCGACTCCCGACGAGCGTACATACTTCCCTCGCGTTTCATCCGTTTGCTCCACGTCAAGTCACTTGGGGAGGGGCGTTTAGTTTTTTATATTACGAAACTTTACATTTTTTCTACTGGCCACGGCTCGATGTTTCGAAGCGACGCGCGTGTCTAGTTGCGTTTTACGAGGTAATTTTCCTCACAAGCAGACGTAGTGTTTTTTAACGGCACGGAAACAGCACAAAGAAAAATTCGTCGAATCCCCTGAGTGAGTCGTTGTAGACGCTATGCCTTGACTTCGAGCATCCGAAATCCGAAGCGATCATTCACATCCTCCCCCCTCCCACACACATACACACACACACACTCCGCCCTCTCTCCTTTATGTTTTTCTCAAAATTGATAAAAAAGAAAAACGGCGATGAAGAAAAGACGTAAACGCGAACGAAACACACGTGAGATCGATCTAACACTACCCCATAGGTAGATAGTTAGTTATACATAATAAGTAAAGAAAAAGGCAGAATATAAATAATTATATATATATATATATATATATATATATAAATAAATATATGGAAGATGATTGTGTATTGTAAGATATTTAATACCGACTTGTCTTAGACGCACCACGACGATCGATTGCAATTGAAACGATGATAATAATTATATATACAGTGATTGTTGTATAACGAACGACGACGACGATGATGATGATGATGATGATGATGATAATGATGATGATGATGATGATAATAATGTTATTCTACACTGTAATTCGCGATGTAACATAGAGGCCCACCTGTTACCCACTAAATCGATGTGTCGATGTATTCCAGGCGTGTTTCACTCGATGTAACTGATTATTACACATGTTTTGTAAGAGACTGGAAACCGGATTTTCACAGTGGTGGACGCTGGATATCGGCCAATATGTTAGAAGTCAGATTTTTCTATGAGAGAGACAGGGGGGGGGGGGGAGGTATTACACCTGGCCCGTGTCTAACGAATTCCGTTTTTCGCTAAACGAGGTCGTTTACGATTCACAATGTTAGCCAAGTATTCGGAACGAACATCGTTCCCGTTGTATAACGCAGCTTCGTTACAACGATTGGAGCACGCTCGGAGAAACTAGCAATAATATAACATTCCAACTTAAATCGCGTGCGTACTGCGAATTCTAATAATGTGTGCCGCCGTACGAGAGAGAAAAAACACTGTCAAATACACGCTCATACACTGCTACATCTTGTCGTATTTATTTTCATTTATCCCTCATCCTTCATCTAACAATTACTATAATGTATGTGTTCTAATTATCTAAGGCATATTACAGAATGAAAGGTTTATTTGTTATAGTTCACTTCCCACCAAATATATAAACTTCATTTTTGATATAATGACATTTTGAACGATTTATTCAATAAAATATATAAAGCAGTATTTAAATAAAAGTACAATGTTAGTAGAAGTAGTATTAATAACAACAATTACATGTATCAGGCCGAACAAAGTAGTGCTACAGGCATGACTGCTGATCCAGTCGATAGTCGATAGTAATAAAGTCGTTATCGTTTGATTTGTGTCAACGAATTATGCAAGTTGAATAAATTTATTACAAAATAATCTACGCCTAAGATTTATTTTACGTTAACTTAATGCTGGTAAACCCTCAACTCTTAAACAACAACAGAAGAAAT